TTTTTTTTTTTTTTTTTGTCAAATTAAAGTGGTTTCCTACAGCCTCAACTATATGTACACTCCAATGCCCCTTTAAATTAAAACAAAAAGGAAAGAAAAATACATTTTTATAACACCAATGTTTATTATCTCATCTTCTCTCCTCTCCCAGTTATTATGTCAGATGCCTCAGACTGATCTTGTGAGCCTTCGGAGGCCTCTAACCTAAGGTTGGAAATCACTGAACTCAGCTATAATATTTCAGAAGCAGGAGACTTTCCCTAGTGATGGTGAAATCGAAGCTTGATGAAGCAGTGAACCACTTTGACACAACTGCAAAGCATTTCATACAGTCAGAAGAGCGACATCTGCTGGCCGTGTTTCAGAACTGCATCTAAGTGGAAGACCTGAAAAAGCCTCAGACTGCCTGTCAGATACTGCTTTGTACTTAACTATTTAACAAATGTTTTAAAAACAGTGTATATCTACACTGAACAAAAACATAAACCGAACACTTCTGTTTTTGCTCCCATTTTTCATGAGCTGAACTCAAAGATCTAAAACATTTCTGTCTAAATCTGTGTTAGTGAGCACTTCTCCTTTGCTGAGATAATCCATCCCACCTCACAGGTGTGGCATATCAACATGCTGATTAGACAGCATGATTATTGCACAGGTGTGCCTGAGGCTGGCCATGTTTATATTTTTGTTCAGTGTATATAGCGTGAGGGAGCAGTGGAAAGTAATGTGCTGGTGCTATTTTGTATAATACACAAGTGTTATGTGATTTAGAAGTTAATGCTAGTGCTTCATTGTGGTAATATAGATGGGGTGCACTGGTAAACCAGGGAGAAAAAAAAAAGCATTTCTACAGTGTGTGGTTTCAGTCTGCTGCTTTTGTGGCTGACAACCTCTCCAGCTTTGGAGAAGACCCGCTCACATGGCACAGATGTTGCTGGCATGGGGAGATACTTTTTGGCCATCTTGAAGAGGTTCGGGTATATTCTTCTTTCGCGTGATGC